GCCTAGCACTTCCCCGCGGTCACACCTGATTATCTCACACAGATAGTAACATCCTTTCTGTTCAGGAATGCCCTCACTGGTGTCCACACAGCCAACCGAACAGAAGAGTCTTGCTAGAAAATGCATTGTACTGGTTAGTTCCATTCTGCCTCTGCAGCCTCCTTTCCAATAGCATTCCGTACACCCTCTGCAGCCTCACTGATCCATCCATCGGTGCTCCACCCCAGTCTCCTTCATCCTCTGTGCCTTGGTCATCAGCGCTTGTATTCCTCTGGGCTCCTCTCCCCATCCCCTTCCTTACAAATCTGTGTGAGACCTTCCTTTCCCACACATTTTTCTCAGAGCCTCTCAGACCTGCCTTCTTTCCAATCAAACCACTTCCAGTCCATACTTACTTTGCATAACTTCACTTCCCTCTGTGTTCTATTTAATGTAGCCTATAGTTCTGTCTTGTACTTAAGCATGGGTAACATATTTCAAAGTATCTTAGGTTCATTAATCCCATTTTCATTGGAACACACCTAATCTTCCTTACTTGTGGCCACATACCACGGGTAAGATTGGAACAGACAAAGCTGAGGCTGAAATTTCTGATGTGGCATCCCTAGACCTAGAACAGAATTTGATCCTATGAGCTAGAACTGAATTGGAAACACTAACACCAAGAGGAATGTTCTTTCTTTTTTTAATCCTCACCCAAGGATATCTTTTTATTGATTTGAGAGAGAGAGAGAGAGAGAGAGAGAGAGAGAGAGAGAGAGAGAGAGAGAGAGAGAGAGAGACATCAAAGTGAGAGAGACTCAAGGAACCTGCCCAGCCTGGGGCTAGGGATCAAACCTGCAACCCAGGTACATGCCCTTGACCAGGAATTGAACCTTTGACCCTTCTGTGCCCAGGCCAGTCTCTAACCACTGAACACCACTGGCCATGGCCAAGCTGGGTTTTCTGTTAACTTTCAGCTAATGGCACACAGGTTGAACCTGACAAGATTTCAAATTAGAGTAGAATATTGCCTTCTGCTCCAGTCCCAAGACTTTGTGGTTCTGTTTTCTTCTTTTAGTTCGATTTTAGGAGAAATATCGAATTGCTAGCCATCTTGACTGAGGAAATGAATGTTTTTTACACAGTTCCTCACTTAATACACCAAACTGAAATCAGAGTTGTCATTTTCATTTTACACGTGAAGAAACCGAAGTGCAGAGAGGTGCTCCAAAGAAAGCCATGGGTTGAATTGATCATGAACATAGCATTGTTTGTTGACTGGAAAATGTCTTTAAAAGTATAGGAACATGGTGAGCTGGTCTTGGTGGATACGCCATTATAGGGAAATACTAAGCATCACCTTTTATTCTAGCGTAAGAGGCACTCTTTGTACCCAGATCCTTTCAACACGCTGAGTTCTACCTACAAACAGATTATGTAACTGGCCCTGCGGCACATTTCTCTCTTTTTTCTTTTCCCAGAATTTATGTTCAAGGACAAGAAGAGCAAATAGGCTGTATTTGCCCATCTGTTCAATTTCTTGTGAAAGACCTTTAAAGGTATTTTCCCTTTTGGTTCTCCCCCACCCCAGTATATATTTGTGTGTGTGTGTGTGTGTGTGTGTGTGTGTGTGTGTGTGTGTGTTTAATTGGAGTTCTTAAATGATTTCTTCTAAAACTTTATGCTTTTTTCTGTAACAAATTGTATGCTATATTTAATATATCTAGATTTCCCCCTTGATATCTAGTTTTCTGAAGACAGAGCTTTGTTATATAGTTTGAAACAAGGCAGTGTAGTGTGATGGCTCCAGTTTTGTCTGTCTTTCTCAAGTTTGATTTGACTATTCTGGATCTTTTTCGGTTCCATAGAATTCAGGATTTTTTTTCCTTCTATTTCTGTGAACAATGCCACTGGATTTTAATAGGGATTGCATTGAATCCTGGATCACTTCAGAGAGTGTGGATATTTTTAATAACATGAATTCTTCCAATGCAAGAACACATGATACCTTTCCATTTACTTGTGTCTTCTTCAGTTTCTGTGATGAGTGTCTTACAGTGTCAGTGTATAAATCTTTCACCTCTTTGGTTAAATGTATTCCTTAGCATTTTTATTTTATGCTAGAGAATTGGATTGCTTTCTTAATTTCTCATTCAGATAGCTCATCATTAGTGTGCAGAAACACAACTGACTTTTGCATGTTGATTTGGTATCTTGCTGCATAAACTGAATTTTATTATTAGCTCTAACACTTTTTTGGTGGAGGCTTTAGGAATTTCCATTATGAGATCATGTCATCTGGAACCAGAGACAATGTTACTTCTTCCGTTCTGATTTGGGTGCCTTTTGCTTTCGTTGTCTTGCCTGATGTATCTTGCTAGAATGTCCAGTGTTATGGTGACTAGAAGTGGTGAATGGACACTTGTCTTGCTCCTAATCTTAGAGGAGGAACTTTTAGCTTTTCACCGTTAAATATAATGTTAGCTGTGGGCTTGTCATAATGACCTTTACTATTCTGAGACACATCCCTTCTATATCAAATTTATTGAGAGTTTTTACCACGAAAGGTTGTTGAATTTTGTCAAATACCTTTTTCATTTCTATTGAGATCCCATGACATTTATGACCTGAGAAATCAGGGCTAACCAGGAATCAATAAAACTTGGGAAGAATGGGAGAGGGAATAAAAACATCTCTAACTCTAAGGTTATATCTCTACTAATAATTCTGTCCTAAAAAATGTTATCTTTTTCTTTTCTTTCTCTCATCATCCCAATTTATTTTACAAACAAGCATTGAGTGTTACATAATATGTGCCAGACACTGCCCTGAGACTAAAGTCTCCCCGAGACTGAGGGGGTAGAACAATACAAATATACATCTGTGTGAGCCTTAGGTCAAACAGAAGATGAGCCCGTAAAAAATGTGTGAAAAAAGAGCAGTCAGTGAGAGAAAAGGAAAAGTGGGAGACAGAAGAAGCACAGAAGCCAAAGGAGCCAAGGAAGCAATGTAGCTGAGCATTTTGAAAATTGGGGTAAAGTGACATAAGACAATGGTAGAGACGTACATTGGATTCGTCACATAAATGTTTTTGATGATGTTGATGAGAGAAGATGCAATGAAGTGATGATACTAGAAACTGAACAGTCAAGAGATGAAAAATGACTGGTTAAAATCACTGAAATATCACTTTGTGATGAAAACTTTAAGAGTTGGGGCTTCTATTTCCTCACATGTTTTTCTTAAGAAAAATAACTGAGAGCTATAAAAAGACCTAGATGAGAGCCTTAACAAGTCCCACATTTAAAGTCCAGGTGGAGGAGAATGAATCCTAGAGAGCCGGGAGGAAAACCTGGAGCATCTGGTGTCAAGAAGGCCCTGAGTAAAACCCTCCCACACGGGGCTAAGAGGCAGAACAGAAAGCCCGTCCGCATCAGGTTAAAGCCATTGGAAAGAGAACGAAAAGGGGGGAAGAACGTAGAGGCAGAGATTCCTGTGGGCTCTACATAATTAAGAATTGCAGATTGCACAGTTTGTTCATTTTTTAACTTAACTGCAAAGGGGCTTTTATATTGTTAAAACACCCAAATGTTATGAACTTTTATAGGATTCATCATTAAATCCGCTATCCCTAACTAACTGCTATTATAGAAACACTGTCAGGGAGAAATAAATACAAGCAAACACGAGGGAACCACTGCTGCGCAACGGGCATTACTATCCACAAAGATGCCTACCTGGGTTTCTAGAAATTACTTTTTTTTTATGTTTATTGAATTTATCGGGGTGACATCTACACTAATAAAAGAGGAAGATGCAAATTGACTGTACCTTAGCTATGCCCACCAGACAATCAAGAGTGAGTACCGTATTTTCCGGCGTATAAAACGACCCCCTAATTTTACAGTTAAAACATAGGTTTAGGCCTGTATTCGCTGTATAAGACTACCCCCCACTTCCGAGGCAACACCAGTTCTTTTTTTAATAGACCGCCTTTCTGACTCTGGCCAATCTGAGCAGGCTTTTTACTAGAACACAGTGTAGCTTCGGGTACAGAACATGTACATTGTACATGTACATCTGAGCAGGCTTTTTACTAGAACACAGTGTAGCTTCGGGTACAGAACATGTACATTGTACATGTACATCTGAGCAGGCTTTTTACTAGAACACAGTGTAGCTTCGGGTACAGAACATGTACATTGTGTTCTAGTAAAAAGCCTGCTCAGATTGGCCAGAGTCAGAGAGGCGGTCTATTAAAAAAAGAACTGGTGTTGCCTCGGAAGTGGGGGGTAGTCTTATACAGCGAATACAGGCCTAAACCTATGTTTTAACTGTAAAATTAGGGGGGTCATCTTATACGCCGGAAAATACATGCCAGTTAACCCAACAAAGATGGCAGCTTAATTTGCATATGCAGGCACCGAGCAGCCAGGGGTGGGGCCGGTGTTCCATACCGCCACAGCTGCTCTGGGCCTCTAGGCAGTATGGGAAGGCAGAAAGGGGATCTGGTCCGGAATGAAGGTGGTGCTGGCAGCCAGGGGAAGTAAGGCTCATTCTTGTACGAATCTTCGTGCATCAGGTCTCTAGTTGGTAAATAAAATTATATCGGTTTTAGGTGTACACTGTATAATACATCATCTGTGTATTGAATTGTGTGTTCACCACTGAAATTCAAATCTTCTTCCATCACCATTTATATCCCTTTACCCTCTACTATACGCCCCTTTCTCTCTGGTAATCACATACTCTTGTCTGAGTCTGAGTTTGGTGTGTTTTGTTTTGTTTTGTTTTGTTTTGTTTTGGTAATCCCTTTACCATTTTCACCTAACCCCTTAACCCTGATAAATAGGCTAATGTGAGTCTTCTGAAATAAAACTGTTGATTGTAATTATCTTATAATTGTATAACTATGTGCGTGTTTATGCTTTTCAAGTTGGTTACTTATAGCTTTTACAAAGAAATGAATGAGTGACAAGAATTTATATATGTAAAAAAAAAGAAATACACATGGTTAATTCTCTGCGGTCATATGTATTTAATTCAAATCTTATAATTTAGATTCCGCATGAATTGCAATAAATGGATCTTCGGCACTGTTACTGATAGAGAAGTGAGCGTTGCCATCAGCAGAGACGTAGATTTTGATTCCTGTACACTTGTCACCAACTTTATCTCCAGAAATAACATCACAGTAGGTGCCAGCAGGAAGACCCGTTTGCAGATAGGAAGATAATGGCCTGTAACAGAAACGTGAAGATTTAACTTGAGCTAAACACAATGAAAACCAAGCTCACAGGTGACCTCTGTAACGAGCAGCTGCCTTTCATGCCATGGACACCACACAGTCAGGTCTCAGGGAGAAGAGACTTCAGCACAGAGACCTCTCTCAGGAACAGAAGTAATCCTCTAGGAGACAGCAGCTGCCTGGTCCACGGGGAATACTGCCAAACACGACGGTGGAGAACTATTGGTGAGGATTTGAATTGTACGGGCTCCCTCGGGTAAAAGTACTTCCTGAGGTGCCTGCCAGGTGTGGCTCAGTGGTTGAGCATTGGCCTATGAACCGGGAGGTCAAGTTTCGATTTCTAGTCAGGGCACATGCCCCATTTCAGGCTCAATCTCCAATAATGGGTGTGTGAGGAAGCAGATCAATAATTCTCACCACTGATGTTTCTTTCTCTCTCCCTAACTCTCTGGAACTAACAAAAATATATATTTTGGAAAAGTACTTCCTGCGGTACACAAATATTTAAAATAGGTCCTCATCTGAACTTAAAGAAATGCAAATTACTTTCAAAATTTTTAATTTGATTATGTTTTCCAAAAATATTTCTTTTTTTACAAGAGGCCAAAATGAATTTGGGCTGGAGCTAAAAGTAATCTAACATTTCTTTGGAGAAGTGTATGGTTTTAAACAGAAAGCTGTTTGCATACATTTATTTTGCTTCTCCCATTCACAAAAGACAGAAACTAAAGGACGAACCACAAAGAGATATACTGGGTTTTTCTTTTTGTCCGTGGAATGTAATTTAGGCTAGAATGAGCTGAAGTTGCCCTTGGAAGAAGACATTTCAGCAGCTTGCTAAAAGGTCTAAGCCATGCTCTTGTCTGGAGTGTAAAATTCAGCTCTCCTCAGGTGAATCACGGACCCAGAGATACATATTCGGTACACATATGCTTTGCAAAATGATGAGCATGGTGAGCTGGAAGCAAAGGAAAGAACAGACAGGAGACTAGTTGAGAAAAAGAGCTAGAAGAAGGAATTTCAGTGCTGGGCAGTCATCTTTCATCATTTACATAAAAGGGTGTCAAGCAACTTGTTCATGTAGTGACTTCCCCACCTGTACACTAACATGGGTGGATGTGCGCGCACAGAATGTGCCTGGTCCCTGCACATGATACACAAGGTGCACAAACACCGGTCTTCTGAGAACAGAGAGCCCTCGTCACGAGGAGACCAAAAAGATCAAAATAATAGGAACCATCATTTTTTTATTTTTCTGGCTCATTTCCCATCTCTATGATTGTCATCCACTGACTAAAGAATCTGATATTAAAGAAAATGTAAATGAGCAGCAAGAGAAAAGAATAAACCCAGAACTCGTTAGTGTGAAATATAATTTCTGATGGGTATCGACTTACCAATCATCATTGTTAAAGATAATGAAGCCTTTGTTTCCTCTTCCAAAAGCTACTTGGTTGCTACCATTATCCCACCAGTTGGTAAAAGGTTCGCCGTCAACCACATTACGGAACATAACCATGTTCCTGAAAGCAAAACACGGTAGGATTGCTATGCATACTTCAGCAGTTTCACAGAAAATGTTAAGCAAGTTTATTATTGGAGGATCTCTCCCAATAAGGGGCCCCACCTGATCTGACGCCAGCGATGCTCACAGACCCAGTCATTGCCGCAGGTGGTGTCTGGGTTGATGGTGACTTCTTTAATTACTCCATTAGTATTTGGTGGCCCAACCCAATCGTTAATATCCTTCATTAGATAAAAGAATAAAAAAATGCTCAGATTTTAAATATTAGTGTTCTCCACTATGCCAAATCCAATCTCCTATTTGTCTCTAGAGTGTCTTCATGTGGAATCCAACTCCTTCAATAGCCATCAGCCCTTCCAAGTTCTCATCACCTTCCCTCCAAATTCTTATTCTCTAGTGCCATGTTTCAAAGGTTAAAAAATATATATATATTTTTGTATGGGGAAGTTCATTTATTTATTCAACAAATATTTATTAAGAATCTCGCATATGCCAGGCACTATGGACACAGGCCAACAAATTCCTCACTTCATGCAATTTACATTCTAGTAAGAGAAGATACAATAAATAAGAAAAATCTATTCAATTAAGGACCTTGGATGCTACTCTGAGTGATCAGGGAAGTCATGACTATAATGTAAGCTCTATGAAGGCAGGACTTGTTATATGTTTTGTTCACTTCTGTGTCTCCATGGTCAAGAATGATGCCTTGTTTATGTTTGTTGGATCAAAAAAGATAAACATTTTTAAAGCCTGGCTGGTGTGGCTCAGTGGTCGAGCATTCAACCTATGAACCAGGAGGTCTCGGTTCGATTCCAGTCAGGGCACACGCCAGGGTTGCAGGCTCAATCCCCAGTAGGGGCCATGCAGGAGGCAGCTGATCAAGGATTCTCTTTCCTCATTGATGTTTCTGTCTCTCCCTCTCCCTCCTCTCTGAAATAAATATATATTTTTTAAAAATTTATGCAGATGAGTGGATTTACCAAATTTTTTTTCTCATCTGGATCTTTCCCAGTATACTCTGCACATTTCTGTTCTTTAATACATATATGATCCTTCTTATAAAATACTTTGCCTATTTAACCTGAATTCAACTATATATGTATTTTTTTTTTGCCTTCAATACCATTTTTTAAAAGTATTTCGCCAGTATTCATATTGCTTAAACTATGAACAGGTGCTGTTTTAAGTTCTTTACAAGTGTTCATTTGTAATCCACATACCAGCCAAGTAGAAGCAGGTACTTATAAGAGGTACCAATTATTATTTTGCTAACAGAGGCCTGCATCAGCTTACACTTAAAGAGTCGATAAACAGATAATAAATGTAACAGCATCAGGTAAACTTAGAACAAAACTGCCTTCCTTGTCTTGAGAAAAAAGTATGTTGCATGACACCAACACTTACTCTTCCATTCTCAAAATACCTCGGCCACCGGAAGCTTGACATGACACGTGTGAACCCATAGGGATGGGCGAGCATAAATGCCACTCCCATTTTGTAGAGTCTGGAAGTTACAAAACGATGCCATGGTCAAAGGAAGCAGTGTTTTCAGTATTGTTAAAAGGCAGGAGGAGAGCAGATGGAGAACTCTGTTCCCACCTGGGGTCCCAGAAGGTAAGGATGGACGCGCCTCCAGCACCATGTCCCCGCTGGTTGTCATGGTTGTCCACGAAGACAAGGGCTCTGTCAGAAGGCATGAAGCCCCAGCCTTCTCCCCAGTTCCTGTGCGCACACACACACACACCATAGAGTAACTTACATGCACGTTTCTTTCAGTGCATAATGACATTCTCTAATTGAAATACAAATAAATAATACAACAACAAATATATACAAGTAGTAGAGGAATAAACTCACAACCATAAAAGTACTTCTGCCTGGCCCTGCATATATTCTATATAGATACAGCTCTGCTATCTATGAATACATTCCATATGTGTACATGCGCCCATGTCTCTTGTATTACATTCACGTTACGGGTATTTCTGTAATTGTAAGAGTCCCTTTGAAAGTCTTAGGGAATTATAATTGAGATGGGCTTCAGAAGGATCAACATCCATCTCATGCAGAACGGCAAAGCAGTTTAAAAGGAGGTTTCCATGTTTGCATCTATAATACAGACAGTTTAAAATGTGAAACCATTTGATAGGATGCTCGTAAATGCCACAGCATGACCACATTGTAGGGACTTTCTCAACGACTGACCATTTTAATAACAACCTGGACCTCTCAGGTCAGCTTAGGAGAGCCACGTAAGCCATAGCTGACAACCCCAGGTGATGGGTTTCTAGACATACTGGGACAGACATTCTCAATAATAAAGATGATCCATTCACGTCTGGGGAGCTAGCACCTGGGTTATTGATAACTGAATTCTCGCAAGAGTCCACGTAAGGTCTTCATAAGATAACACCTGTCAGGATAATGTGATATGTACTAAGTCTGTAAAGTGATTCCAAGAACCAGGCTGTGCCACTCACCTCAGATAGGCCATCCTCTCCCCATCCCACTTGCGCAGCACTGTGCCCAGTTTGGCACCGTACTTGAACTCTGTCACGCGGCCGATGTCAAAGTATTCACTGCTCTTAATGGACTCACCACCCAGATCGATTACCTGGAAGAATTATTCAAGTCAGAAGAAATGTAGGGGGAAATGCCGTTTTAGGTTAGACTTTAATCGACCAGTGAATGTCATATAGAAAACGGCTTTAGCCCACCTGGCTCAGTGGTTGAGTGTCGACCTATGAACCAGGAGGTTACAGTTGGATTCCTGGTCAGGGCACATGCCCAGGTTGTGGGCTCCATCCCCAGTGTGAGGCATGCAAGAGGCAGCCTATCAATGGTTCTCTCTCAACACTGATATTTCTATCTCCCCCTCTCCCTGCCTCTTTGAAATCAATAAAAAAATACTTTAAGTAGTCTTAAACAATTTATGTTACTTGACATGCCCCAGATAATTCTGCTTATACCAAGATTCTCATTTTTGTTGTTAAGGTATTTACTACAATAAGTGACTAGCTAAGGCGGCCTGATGTCCTGTGAAAACCCAGACCTAATGGAGTCTTCATCAGGGGATGTGCAGGAGGCAGCTGACTGATGATTCTCATTGTTGATGTTTCTTTCTCTCCCTTGTCCTTCCTCTTTGAAATCAATAAGAAATATATATTTAAAAAAAAAAAAACACTGTCCTCTACAACGGATTCCTGTTCTGTGTAGAAGAATCAGTTCCTCCCATACAGAAATGATATTTTAATGAGATATGTCCCTATTTTCTGGTGAATTAAGCTACATTGTGTATGCACACACATGTCTCCACACACACACATGTGTCCACGCACCTCCTGGTAAATGAAAGCTTTACTTCCCTCGGGGAACCAGGTGGTGTTCAGATGATGCAGTTTATCCATAATGGCCTTCATGTCCCCGGGCCACATGTGCTTGGAGGCATCGATCCGGAAGCCGGCCACCCCGATGTCAATGAGGTAGTTCAGATACTCGGCCACCTTGGAGCGCACGTAGTCTTTCTCCAGGGCAAGGTCGAGAAGACCGACCAGACGACAGTCTCTGACCTGTGGAGGCAGGAAGTTCATGATGGATGCATAAGACCCGGTGTCCACCTGAGAACCCACTTGGCCAGTCATTCATTTGTTCATTAACAGGCATCTCTATAGCGTCGCGTCCGCCTCGGGCACTGGGGGCATGGACAATCTAGTCTGGACACACCTTTGAGGTGCTTGCTCGTGTGAAAACAGAGCACAAAGGAAGTGAAGTGGCTGAGCTTTTCACTGGGAATCAGTCACGTGGAGAAAGGATGGTACCTATTGCTCTGCGTTGCTTTATTTTTATCCAATCAGACTTGGAGCCCTGTTTTCTTAACTACGGAAGCTAAGGTGCCACTGCAGTGGAGATCAGTGAGCTGCGCGCAGATAAAGGCAGATCACGGGAGCTCTCTATTCCGATCACGGTGGTGTTTCTAATTACCTGGTAAGGGTCATTGTAGTTCTCGATGTCCCCACTTGGAGTTCTGCATTTACCGTCATTGAAATCCCAGGCGGAGAACGGGACGGAGGGGAAGTCGCGGCTCCAGGGGTTGAAGAAGCTCCCGCAGGTGCTGCTCTGCCCCGGGGTCACGCCGTTGCCGCACATGTGGTTGATCACGGCGTCCACGTAAATGTGAACCTGCAAAGCAGCGCTTCCGGTTCAGTGTGACGGACGGGAGGGAGCCACCATGACATTGCCGCCTGGAGCTGACAGCATGTTCATGACATTCCCAACTAGTTCTTCTTTTACGTTATAACGGACCTGCCTAGGAGACCATAAGTAAGGTGTGCGAGGAAATGAACCGAAGACCTACATGCATGCCAGCCACAACCCAGATGTTTCCCTACATGTAAATGAACAGAACCAGACTCCAGTGCCTATGAACAAAGGCAAGGAGCCTTTGTCGGGGAGGAAGGAGGAAGAGAAGGAGAGATTGCTGATCTTTGGAAGGTCCCTGGGTCACCCTCTGCTACCAACTCAGCCGCTGAAGACTGGGGAGTAAACATAGTCTCTTACTGTGTTCCTCATCTGGAGGGATCCTCCTTTTACTATCAAACAGCCTGTGGGGAAGAAGACTTGGGAATTATGGATGGAGACACGAGCCATGCAGAAGGCACCCAGACATTGTCACTGGAATTTCCAATTTCTGACTAGAAAGTATTCCCTGGAAATCTGTACAGTTATAAGGGTTAAAGGTTGATTTTTGCTTTATAAACCCCAACTTATGTCTTTGGTAGATAAATGGCACACATACAAAGAATGATAAAGACTGAAATATGCCGAAACCGGTTTGGCTCAGTGGATAGAGCGTAGGTCTGCGGACTGAAGGGTCCCAGGTTCAATTCTGGTCAAGGGCATGTACCTTGGTTGTGGGCACATCCCCAGTAGGGAATGTGCAGGAAGCAGCTGGTCGATGCTTCTAGCTTTCTATCCCTTTCCCTTCCTCTCTGTGAAAAATCAATAAAATATATATATATATTTAAAGACGGAAATATAAGCTACAATTAAGTTTTAGTTACAGGTAAAGCATAAAGTAAAATAAAAGATATGGGAAATTTCTCAAAAGGAGCAAGAGACGGGGGGCAAGCAGCGAGAAATTATATTTTTATGTAATTTATTTATTTATTTTTTAAATGTATCTTTATTGAAAGTATTACAGATGTGCCCCTATATTCCCTCATTAACCTCCTCCAGCCTGCACCTGTGGCCCGCCCCCCCCCTCCCCCCCCCCCCCCGGCCTTCACCACACTATTGCCTGACAGATATTTTAAAGAAAACGAAATCACTTACGCCAACGTTGTTACACCTGGTCACCATGTCTCTGAATTCCTCCTCATTTCCTGATCTTGTACATAACTTGTAGCTAATCGGTTGGTATCTCTCCCACCAAGGTCTTGAAGGGTTATTGATGATCACATTTTCATTGGGTGGAGAGATCTACAAAGAAAACCATCTTAGGTATCACATGGTGGCTTTACTTGGTATCACTGAATGGTCTAGGAAATAACCAGTGACCTTAGATTCTTTCTCAATCTTTGTATAAACTGCTTCATTTTTTAATAAGCACGGGACACCATTAACAGTCTATTGGTGATGTCGTGCTGAGAGTATACCAGAAACAGAACCTAAAGCTGCTAACGATACTAAATTGTGTATGTTCCTCACAAAACTCCTCGGAGGGCATATGAAATACAATTTCTGAGCTTCGCAGACACAGAGGAGACCATTGGCTCTAAAGCCCCGCCAACCCCAAGGTGAACACCGTGAGTCATACCCACCTGCACCCCTCCGAATCCTTTGGGACCCAAGTACCGCTCACACTCAAGGGCAATGTCAGCCCAGCGCCACTCAAACAGGTGGACAATGGAGGTGCGCCCAGGCTTGGTGTTGGGGGCGTACTGAGCCCAGCAGAACCCCAGGGCTGAGAGCAACAGCAAGAACTTCATCTTGCTCGGCGATGTCAGGGTTATTTCCAGGAACTATTTATATTCCTGCAAGAAGAGTGCTTTACAAAGTTAATGTTCACACGAGCAAATACTCGGGCACAAATGTTTACTCATAATCTGAAAGGTGTTATCAATAAATCATGAGATTGTCCAGGGAAAGAATCCAGCTGACCTCTGAGAACCTTAATGTTTCCTTTATTGGGGAATATCAGCCTTTGTAACATATGGCACTTTATATACATAAAGAGGAGTCCCCAGTCATATATTATTTACTTAGCATTTGATTTTATTTCCAAAGTCCTTCAAAGATAGAAGGAAAAGAACAAGCAGAGCCAACTACATTCATAGTCAGAATGTTGCCTTAGGCCTGGCCGGCATGGCTCCGTGGTTGAGCGTCAAACTATGAACCAAGAGATAAAGGTTGGATTCCAGGTCAGGGCACAAGCCTGGGCTGCAGGCTTGATCCCCAGTGTGAGGCATGCAGCAGACAACCAATCAATGATTCTTTCTCATCATTGATGTTTCATCTCCATCTCCCTTCCTCTCTGAAATAAAAAATATATATATTTTTTAAATTGTTACCCCTAGTCCTAATTTCTCAATTACTTAAATTTCTGCACTAAGATTTAAGAAACTATTTGGCAGTTGAATGTCTATGAATTAAGCAAACAGAACCTTTCGCTTCTCCATCAAATCATGTGCTGAACGCAATGTCTAGAAAAGTAATGTGTGAGTGTGTGTGCTTTTTCTTTACCCCAGCCCCAGCAATCTCACTTCTCAGACAGATACAAATATATATTTTAACATGTACATGAATTAACATTAACCAAGATCAGAAAGTTACCTACTCTTGTCATTCATAGTCATTAGTCTCGATGCTTTATAAATATATAGCAAGTAACTTAATGAAAGCATTATTAAAAATTTTAACGGAGAATACCTCCAATGTCACATCTATGTCTGTTATTTCATCACTTGTATTTCTCTCTGGGTGTTTTTATATTTTTCTGTTTTCACAGTTTTCAAATATTCTAGAACATAGGTAGTAATAGGTCAAGGTAATGGCTTCTCTTCTAAAGATAGTCACAATCCCTCTACGTTTTCCATGGAATCTCATGTACAATTTTCTTAAAACATTGCCTTGTCGCCTATGAGCCCTCCCTCTACCAAAAGAAAGCAGAAATAAAAGAGAAATGCACCTGAGATCAGGATAGTAAGTCACGTGGGAAGGTTAGAGAAGAGAAGGCAGAGAGTCAAGTTTGCCTGCAGCTCCCTGCAGGGAGCCACATTTTGAAAGAAAGTTCCACACATTTCAAATCTAAATAGTACTTTTAGAATCAAGGTCATAGAATGGGAGGGGATTGATTATTCTCAGGGGGAAAAGGGCATCTGTGTGGGGGGTACGGGAAGAGACTGGACAAAAACCATATGCCTGTGCTGCTGGGCATTGAAACTCGAGTTGTCAACAAACCTAAAATAGATTGTGCCACTTTAACTCTATCGACTCCTATGCCAGAAGCCACTTATTTCAAGACAAAAAAGGAGGGACGGTATTATATGAAAGTAAAAAAAGTAACATAACTTACCACATCAACTTCTGTAAGCCAGCAATCTCGCAAATCCTCCGTTCAGTCTCTTTTTAAGCGTACAAATTAAGGAAACAAACAGTGATGAATTGCCCAAATTCCTCTTCCCTTTAAGTCATTGCTCTGAGGACCCTGCTGAGTTCTCTAAACCCACATGGTACCAGGTCTAGCCTTAGCCCCACTTGGCATCAGGTCAGGCCTGGGCTCCCCTCCCTGTCTCCACCCCCTGCAGCCCTCAGCCTCTCCTCTGCCAGTTTGCTTTCGTTTTGTCCTTTCTCTTCCTCAGGAGCCTCTCCGGATATCAACAACCCGTGCTTTTCTGAGTGGTTTATATTAATCCACTGGGGGGAAATTGCTAAAAAGAAAAAAAGAACACACCCTTAAAGACAGCTTAGAATAAATATCATGGTGTTAAATGAGTTGTGTAACATAAGTGTGACTAGAATGTAAACAAAGTCTCTAAACCAAAAATCTAATTTTGAATGCAAGCTTTGCCATCGGCTCTGTGAGCCTGGAGAAAAACCATGAAGCCTGTACAGTATATGCCCATCTTCATTTATCCAGTGGGAATCATGGTATATGTTAAATGCTCAAAAGTAACTATTATACAAACAGCTAGCAGCACGCATCCAATGCTACTGAGTGCCATTTCCATGTATTATTGTTTTGATTTCTCACGTGTGTAAATGCAAAAGCGAGCTATGCTTATACCCAGTTAGTTTGTTTTTTTTAATATACTTTATTTTATTTTTTTCAGAGAGGAAGGAAGAGGGATAGAGAGTTAGAAACATTGATGAGAGAGAAACATCGATCAGCTGCTTCCAGCACACATCCTACTGGGGATGTGCCCGCAACCGAAGTACATGCCCTTGACCAGAGTTGAACCTGGAACCCTTCAGTCCACAAGCCAACGCTCTATCCACTGAGCCAAACCAGATAGGGCTGTATCAGTTTTAATACTGAGACACTGAGTCATTTGGCCAAGGTTAAATTTTAGTAAGTGTTCAGATTGAGAACAAAAACCAAACAGAGTGACTGCATAGTGAGCTTGTCCCCCAGTCCTATCAGTCTGTCACTGGGTGTTACTGAAAACGAAGAGAGTATTGTATGTGAAGATATTCTGGCATCTGGACAGTTGTTTGGCTAGTAGTAACTGTTAGTCAGACATGAGCAGAGCAAGGACGATGGGCCAGGAGCAGAAACTCACCAGGGCAGAAAGCCCTGGATGCTCGGCAAGGGGCAAAACTGGGAACACAAGGACTGCCCCCTCCCAGGGTTACCTCCCCTCCCCTAGAGCGACAGTCGCCAACCTTTCGGGCCTCTCGAACCACCAGTGGTCCGCAGACCACCAGTTGGCGACCACTGCCTTAGAGTGTGGCTGCCCGTGTGGGTAGGAGAGCCACAATCCCTGAACAAAGGGTTCACATCCTTAAACTGGAACACTGGATTTGGAATCTATGCCAGCTTCACTTCAGCAACATACCAGAACTGCCATTACAGTTCTCTGCCCACTTCTTTTCATTGTTGAAGTCCCCAAACTACACCTTTCTACGTGATGTGCCCCCACACATATTTGAAATGCATTAGTCTCTTAAATTATGTGGAAAATGTGTGGAGTTACAAACCAGTTACAATACCAACTTATGGGCTAATTTAAAAAACAATGTATGCTTCTTAAATAATGTGGAAAACAACTGTAGTTATAAACCACTGTTACAGTAATCCTAGCTCTTGTAATTGTCCATTATTTCCTTTATTGTGATCTGAATTTCTCCTGATGGCTTTGAGCTCCCGTCTCGTTCCCATTCATTTCACATTGCCAGAGCCCCTTAAGCATTTCTTCCAGTGCAGGTTTATCTGGGACTGTCTTATTTCTCTCTGAGTTTTGAAGACAGTTTTGCTACGCATAGGGTTCCTTGCTGTTTTTTTTTTGTTTTTTGTTTTTTTTCTTTTAGCACTTTGAATATACTAGTCTACTGGCTTCTGAGAAATTTATTGAGAATCCCTAATATGTGACAGTTCACTTCTCTTGCTTGCTGCTTTCTAGATTCTTTTATAAAATTTAATTATGTGTGTCAGTGTGGGTTTCTGAACTCATCTACTTGGAACTTGTTGAGCTCCTTGATGTTTATATGCATGACTTTCATCAGATTTGAGCAGCTTTCAGCCTTTTATTTCCTCAAGTACTCTGTCCCTTTCTCTCTTCCTCAGGGACTCCTACAGAGCACAGCTTTAAAATGAGTCTTAAAATTAGGTCATCTAAGTCATCCAGTTTGTTTTTCTCAGAATTGTGCTAGTTATTCTGGTTCGTTCATTTTCCAAATAAACCTGTTTGGCAACATCAACAAAATAGAATTTTTGAATGGGAAAGAATTAAGTTTTTAGTCAACATTTTAACAATCATGAGTCTACATACATACTAGAGGCCCGGTGCACGGATTCATGTGCAGGGGTGGGGGGATCCCTCAGTCTGGCCTGCACCCTCTCACAATCTGGGACCCCTCAGGGCTCAAGGAGCAGGTGGCCAGGGAGAAGCCTGAGCCTGGGCCCAGCACTGTGCCATGTGGTCTGTCCCAGCCTGCGGTGCCTGCTGCCGCTGCTCATGGCACTGCTGTGGAGTCAGGAGAGGCTCCCACTGCAGCGGTACTCCCCAGCCATGAGCCCGGCTTCTGGCTGAGCAGTGCTTCCTTGTGGGAGCACGCTGACCACCGGGGGCAGCTCCTGTGTTGAGTGTCTGCCCCCTGATGGTCAGTGCACATATAGCAACCGGTCGAACAGTCTTCCTAGTCGCTCTGTTGTATGGTCACTTAGGTTTTTATTTGTGTGTGTGTGTGTGTGTGTGTGTGTGTATTTTTTTAATTGATTTCAGAGAGAAAGGGAAAGGGAGAGATAGAAACATCAGTGATGAGAATCATTGACTGACTGCTTTCTGTATGCCCCACAATGGGGATGGAGCCCACAATTGGGGCATGTGCCCTGATCTGGAATTGAACCAGGCTTATACATAGGTTAACACACTGGCTGGGCAATAATTATGAGTCTTTTGACACAGGTATACATTATCTCCACTTATTTTTCATTTTTTAAAAATTTTATTGAGTTTAGAGATAGATGGGACAGGGGAGGGAGAGAAAAGAAACATCAACTTATTTATATTCATTGTTTGACTCTTGTATGTGCCCTGACTGGGGTACAAACCCATAACCTTGGCAAATCAGGACAATGCTCCAGAGCTACCCAGCCAGGACTAAGTTTTCATTTTTCATTATCAACTAGAGGCCTCGTGCATGAAATTTGTGCAGGGGTAGGGTCCTAATGGCTGCTGGCCAGGGTTTCTCTTCATTCCATGTGCCCTCTGGTGGTCAGCACATGTCAAAGTGAGCAAGCGAACTCCAGAGGGGACGCTTCGCATATTTGGCTTTTATATATATATAATTGGTGGTGGTGTGGGGGGTTTCACCATACAGGTGTAGTACATATTTTGGTAGATTTATAGCTAATTACTTCCCCTTTGGTACTATTGCAAATGGTACTTTTAGAAAATTTTCAAAATGTAGTTGCTTATTACTAGTACATAGATGTACATTTGACTTCTACACCTTTTATTTTTGTAGCCTTTTGGTCGGAGGAACCTTTTTATTTATTTATTTATTTATTAATATATTTTATTTTATTTTTTTACAGAGAGGAAGAGAGAGGGATAGAGAGTTAGAAACAGAGAGAGAATCATCGATCAGCTGCCTCCTGCACACCCCCAACTGGGGATGTGCCTGCAACCAAGGTACATGCCCTTGACCAGAATCAAACCTGGGACCTTTCAATCCACAGGCTGATGCTCTATCCACTGTTTCGGCCAGAGGAACCTTTTAATTCCTTGGATTTTTCTATATGCCATTTCTGAACAAGGACAACTTACTTTTTTACATCCGATTTGTACAGCTCTCCGGGTTCCGCACTGGCTGTCAAGATGTTGAATGGGGCGGGAGTGTGCACTTCCTTGTCTTTCTCTCATCTTATGAGGAAAACATTCCACCTTTAACAGGAAGTATTAGCATAGCCATAGGTTTTGTAGACACTCTACCGAATTAAGGAAGCTCTCTCTAATTTCTGGTATACTGAGTTTTTATGGATGTTTAATTTTGTCAAATGCTTTCCCTTCCTTTATGCTTTTCCTCTACTCTGTTGCCATGATGAGTTACATCTGACTTTCAGAAATTGAACTAGTCTGAACTTCCCAGGATAAACTTCACTTGACCATGATGTATAATTCTATTTACATAGTTTGATGAACTTAATCACACTTTATTAAGGATTTATGCATCTATACTCATGAGAAATAGGGATATTGTAGTTTTCTCATACTTTGCCTGGTTTTAGTATCAAGATAATGCAGGACTAAGAAAATTAATTTGGAAGTGTTAGCTTCCATGGGTTTGTTGGCTTTCAATTTGCTGTTTAGCAGAATTTACTATTGAAAATACTTAGACCATGAGCTTTATTTGCAGGAAGAGTTTGAATTACGAAGTAAATTTATTAAATAGAAAAAAGATTGTTCAAGCTACTTCTTGAATAAGCTTTAGTAGCTTTTCACTTTCAAGAAATTGGTCCATATCATTGAATTAGTCAAATTTATAAAAACAAATTTGTCCAAATTCCAGTATTATATTATTACAATTTGGAGGGTGGCGGGAGGGGGGGGGGGATTTCTCTTACTTTTCTTTGGCTGGAACTAGTCTTGTTTACAATGATATTTTCTATTTACGAAGTATTGGTTTGTGCTTATTACTGTTATTTCCTTTTCCTGCTTGTTCTGGGTTTAATTTATTCACTTTCTAGTTCCTTCAAGTCGAATCATCAATCTGTTGCTTTTACCTTTTCTAACATAAGCAAATTCCCTTTAAACACTTCTTCAGCTGTACTTCACAAATTTTTGTTGTATTTTCATTCATTCAATTATTTTCTAATTTCCCTTAAGAATGCTGATTTGCTTTATTTGTTATTTAGCAATGTGTAATTTAATATCCAGGAAATTTGAAATCTTCCTGTTACTTGCTATCTGGTTTAATTTGAGGTCAAAGGACACACTTTTTATGATGTTACTGTTTAACGGCATAGAACCACGCATCTACCAAACTATTCACCATTGTTTCAATTTTCGGTGAGGGAGGAAGAAAAATCTTCCTTTTGTCACAGGACAGACACACACACAGTGAACAGGCAGACATACAGTGTGCTGATTTTAAAATTTCGAGTAGGTTGATTTCTTTGAGAGGGACAGTAATTTTAAAAAATAGCTGAGAAACTGATTTTGAGGTATGCCACTATTTTATTTTATTTTTGTTTTAGTTGTGATATATTTGTCATACAGAAAGAATTAAAAAAAAAAAAAAAAAAGACTCCATGTCTCAAGACCGAGGTTTAATAAATGTTAACATTTTGCCAAAATATTCTTCAAACATCCTTTTTAAAGAAAAATAGAATACATACAGCACTGCCCCCTCCGACTTCATTCTCCTTTCGTCGTTTTCTTCCACACTGAGGCATTCAGTGCCTCCATAAATACATAATGCTGTTCTCTGCATCTATTTTGATCTAAGGTCTGAAAAGTTTCAGGTAATAAAATAATCTGTGGCTCAGATTTTCTTCTGTATTCTGGGATTTTCAAGGACCCAGGTATATTAACGACTGGTAAGTGGTATACTGGTGCTGTCATAATTTTTCAAATAAAATACCTTACGTTCTCAATACCTTTCTATCATTTCTAACTGATGTCCATTTTAAATAGATGCGATCCCCATTTCGATGTTTATACATTATCCTAGATGTTCTGTCTTGTTTGACCTCCTACCTTCCCCCTGGCCTTAGAGCTGAGCTTGTTTGGTGCAGGCCTCTCCTCCTGGCACCTCTTGCATGCTGCTGAGTCTCAGTTTCGTATTTGAGATCCCACCCTCCACCCCCACCACACACACACACACACACACTTTGGGACTGCTGTGCCTCCATACAGCTCACTTCCACAAATGTCAGTAAGTTCTTGGGTGGGAACTCTACTCCTCCAAAGAGGGCATCAGCTCTCTCTCTTATGTACCTAACACACTGGCCTGCTCTCATGTCTACTGAGCAATCCTACTGAGGTCACTATTTTTGTTGTTTATGCATGAGTTAAGGAAATTAAATGGGACAAACAAAATGTCTTAACTTACAGTTAGAGTTTACTTAAAAACTCCATTACTCACAGAGGGACGTTTTTCTTATGGGGATGGTAAACATCAATAATTACTACATCTAAGCACTCAGCACTATGCCTGGTGAATGTTAGGTGCGCATCAGCTATTGATTCTGTTCCCTTACTTCCTCTGAAAGCCTTAATATCTCTTGATATTGATTTTGAAGGAGTCTTATTTGCACAGTAAATACTTTCTGATTCACCTAAAACAGCAACCTGAATGCTGTGCCTTCTGTCTGATGACAGACTTACCAGGATTACACTGACTGTTCATGTTACTAACAGGAGGCAGGCACCTTGAAGGGAACAAACACTTGAGGTGTTTTCCTACTTACCTACAGCTGAAACTAATTTCACCAAGGGAAAGGAATTTTATATCGGAAACATTTGTACCTTTTGAATGATATTCTAACAGATTATGGGGCACAAAAATCAGACTAGAAAAATTCCCTAAACTGGATAAACACACACACACACCTCATAGCCAGTGCACTGTTATGCAGGTAGATATTAAAAAGGGGCATTATTTGTAATATTAAAATAAAATTTAATATTGTAAAACCACCATCATACTTTCCTAGCTATGTAAAACATTAAAATTAAGAATATTTTAGTGAAAAAAATAATTTATTATATAGAAAGCCGATTAAAATGCACATAATGTATGTCCAATAAACTGATTTAAGTGCAAACACACTTAATTTTTAAATACACTTTAAAAGCTGTTACGCACAGTTCCATAGCCCAGATGGTCAATTTCTTCTCAAAGGTGCAAAACACAGGAAAGACATGGAATTCAAAAGGAACCTAAAATACCATAAAAATTCATTGAAAGCAGTAATGAGTATAAAACAGTTCATTGGTTTAAAAATAAATAAAAGCTAACATATTTATACTTAGAAAATTAGTGAATCATGTCAGTACAACATTTTGTCTAAAAAAAAAGCTTATAAAGAAACTAATTTATAACATTAGAAAATAAAACATTTAACTTCCTACTGGGGGAAAAAAGCAATTTCAATACCTATAATTTTTTTGCACTCTTAGGATGACAGTGATTATTAACAGATGTTTGCATTGTTTTCAGAGGACTAAGAATAGCAGGATTTGCAAGAAGGAAATGTAGAGGCACCAACCAACCTTTCTTCTCCTACCTAGAAAGGTAGATAGGGAGGTGACGTTAGGGAGCTGACCATTTTAATCTCACAAAGTCATATCCACACTGGTCAGTGCTTGTAACTATACTAAGGGAAGGATCCTTTTCAAATTCGATTCTTTGATTCCCAGAGATTTGATTTATTAGTTCTAAGACCCAGTTCAGGAATCTCAGTCTAAAAAGCCTTCCTAGGTGTTTCTCAACCTTGGTTACATATTAGAGTCAAAACTTAGGGAGGTCTAAAAAAAATCCCAGAATCTATGTTGCACACCCGATCGATAAGTCAAAACTCTGGGCGAGGAACCCAGGCATCAGATTTTTTTGGTGTTTTTGTTTGTTTTGTTTTGTTTGCTTTTTAATCAATACAATAAAAGTTTCCCATGTTATTTTAATGTGCAATCAAGTCTGAGACCCAGTTCTGGGTAATCCTGGTCATGAACTAGTCTGGAAACCACGGTTCTGACCTATCCACCGGGACTGTTTCTCTCCACCTAATGTGCTACCCTGAGTCAACATTCTGTCTTCCACCTCTGTTATACTTTTCTTCTTGCTTTTGTTTTGTTTGGTTTAGAAAAGAAAGGAATAAGATACTCCTATTTGCTGTCTGTCTCAAAGGAAATTTTAACAACACTTCAAACCTGAGGTTTGCTACTCTTATTTGGAATTTGCATAGGAATCTAGTTATGCTATTTTTTATATAGCTAATATATTTTTTAATATTTGAATTCTTAAAATAATAAAAGAAAAAACATTTTCCCAACCAAATTTTACAACACATTATACATAATACCTAAACTAAATCTATATATAAAGGCCGACTGGCCAATAGGCCAGTAGCTATGATGCACACTGTCCACCGGGGGCAGACACTCAATGCAGGAGCTGCTGAGCTGCACTCACATGGCAGCAGTTCTAGGGCAAGGCACCTGGAACCAGAAAGCAAGGAGCCCAGTTCAGGGGTGCATCACCCCAGAACCACCCTCTCAAATCCAGGACCCCTTGGGGGATGTTAAGAGAGCGGATTTTGGCTTGATCCCCGCAGGCTAGGCCCAGGGACCCCCACCAGTGCACGAGTCCATGCACCAGGCCTTTAGTATGTCAGAAAACAGAACACATTCCTGAATTTGATCTAGAAATTACATAAATGAAGAAAAAGGGCTGAATTCTGTATTAAAGTGAATGCATACATTCTACAAGTAAATAAATTGACCTGATTCACTAACTTTCCCTGAAAAAATTACATAACCTAAAGGAAAGTCTAGAAAATTTAGCAGCACATTTCAACAAACCCATAAAAGATTTGTTCAATCAACACTGATATTTAGGAATATTTCTTTTAAGTTGCAAAAAAGTATTGCTCATTCTGGACCAATGGGTGGGAGGGAAAAAACATTTCTAAGGAAAACAAAAAACAAAAGTACTGCCCCCAAAAGGATACGAGAAAGGATACACTTTGCATGACAGTGTTACAGCGGTATTTACGCAGGAATGCTTCTAAAGAAGAACAGCGGGTTGCAGTTTAATTTCTTCTCACTTTCCACATGTTTGCATATAAATGATTTTTTTAAAACACACACTAAATATTGTTTCTTGTTAACTGTTCCACTAGGGCATTTGTAGGACTTCTGACTATACCACTATAGATGTTTTAAAACAAAACTCAAATATGTAAGGTATCTCATAAAAGGAATAAACATAAAGCAAAATTTTGTCTAAGTTAAATAATTTTTTCAGCTTAACACCAGTAATTTTGACCCATTTACTTCATATTCTTCCAGTGTACAAAGGCAGAAATATTTTAAATAAAAGTAAAAAAGGATATATTTCCATTCATTTTCTTCATCAATGTAACACAACTTTAAAGTTGGAAATGTAATTCTACCATTTTTAATAAAATTACTTGAATGTACATTAGAATTACACATTTGAAAGACAAAAGATTCCATTCCCCAAAAGACAATGTAAGTATTTCTCTTAAGTGTTCAATTAGTAATTAGTAATGCAAGAGCTCAGGCCACCAAGGATGACTGCTTTGTCCTGGCTTGGCCCACACACCCCGTCACAGAAAAACTGGGGGGCTGGAGGGGCAGGAGAGCTGGGTTCTTGGTTTCCCAAGGTCTCTACCCCAGACCTCCTGAACAGAAACTCTGGCAATACGATACACTCTCCCCTTATAAAACCCATTTTCCAAATATAACTTTTATATCCAAATAGGCTTTATTCTGTAGTTATAATGCTGAAGTTGACTGAGAATTAACTGCACAGTTAGACAGAGACAGCGATGGAGAGATGGCTGCAGGGCCCTAACTAAGGGCTTTCACTTGAGTTACTGCTCTGCCAGCTCTGAGAGGTAGACAGGTGGTGGGCGGGATAACGACAGGGCCCGCCTCCATAAGAGTTTAGGGGGTGGAATCTCAAAAAGTCTTCTTTCATTCATTCCTACCCACACTTACCTTTACCGAGATTATCACTTCCTTCTTCCTTCTTTAGAATCTTGTTTTGGTCTAGCAGACCGAGCGAATTGCTAATATTTAAAAATTAAGGTTTGCTTAACAAACATAGAAGCAATCTTTTCTAATTATCAGGAACTTTCTAATTCAGGGCAGAATTGATCTTTTATATTTATACTCTCAGACATTTGTTAAATACGTTTTATCTACCTGCTGTCCACGATTTGGGGGAGAAGTAAAAAATATAGTACCTTTCTCTCCAGTCAGTATCTTCCCACCTATATCTTCATCTGTCCTGCTGATTAGCAACTTGTGAACTACATTCGCTAAAGGCAGGGTAATTAATCAATGGTATATTTTGTTTATTAAAATTCTAGAATGCAAATAAGAAATACAATATAAGGCATAACTACAACGAACTGTATCTCTGTAATGAGCCTAAGGGAACTTCGGGAGACTGCAGGCACAGGCGCAGTGTGCACATGCTCTGTTGGGCTGAGGAAGAGAAAGGTCGAGACCTGGCTACATCTAACACCCTCATGCTGCTGCTGAGGTTCCTTCACTTCCAGTGTTCACCTAAACAACACTCATCTCTCAGCCAGGATGACTGTGATTGAGGACCTCCAGGTAGAATGTCAGCCGGTAAGTCTTCTAAAGGCGGGTAAAAATTAGTTTCAGCGATACGCTTCTCCTGACAACTATCATAGAGTGCTTGGGACAGAAAGGTTAAAAGGATACGACCACCATGGGTTTCCCAAAAAGCACATAGCCATTGGCTTCCTTCAAGGCCTTTGCCGCTGCTTTTTCGTCCGGGAGCCCAATGAAGGCCTGTCCTTTCATGCGGCCCTCCTTCATCAGGCGGACGTCGAACCTGGAGGTCAGAACAGCAGGCTTGAGTCAAAGAACGTCAAACCATGGCGACCAAATGAATGGAAATGTTGCCAGTCCAGGGCGAAAACAACAACTATCCAACCTCGTTGGCACATCAATTCCTCACTTCCTAAAGCTGTATTCTGTGTTCAGCCCCAAAATTGATTCCATGAGTAGACAATCGAACTTTGAGGATGCGCTTACACATATTTTTCAGCTATCTTAAATGTATTTATGTGATTTAAAAAAATATCTTCCTCGCAACTATGAAGCACATTTCTTAAGTTATGTCATATCTCTATTTTTAAAAAATTCCACGCAAACAATTCAATACTATTGCTCAAGAGACAAAAAGCAACTATACAACCAAAAACAGGATTTCGGGGCAGGAAGAGACATTACTAAGCACCACTTCACAGGGACGCCCCCGGAGACAGTGGTTTCTTCACTGTCGCTTTACTGAGCTCAGGTCAGAGATCTAAATACAAGCACATGTGTAATTCCACGTGTAGAATTCCACTCTTTCATAGTGCTTTTTTTTTTTAACATTTTGTACACAAAGCTATATTGGAGACTCCTTAGAAAAAGCAGATTATAACTTGTAACTGAAGTACTGCTTTAGAGAGTCTATTGGACTAGGAAAATCATATAAGTATGAAAAAATGCAGTGAAATTTTAAAATTCACATGACTAAGTCCCATGGGGAACAATTATTAGTCATCTTGTCGTGCACAACCTTCTCCATATAGAATTATTTTCCCCATGAAACTCTAAATGCAAGCAATCCTGGAAATAGAAAAAAAAAGAATGTATACACACATTTGTACATACATATCAATACATATAAAGTATTTATTGCCGAGACCGGTTTGGCTCAATGGATAGAGCGTCAGCTTGGGGACTGAAGGGTCCCGGGTTCGAGTCCAGTCAAGGGCATGTACCTTGGTTGCAGGGTATATCCCCAGTAGGGGGTGTGCAAGAGGCAGCTGATCGATGACTCTCTCTCATTGATGTTTCTAACTCTCTATCTCTCTCCCTTCCTCTCTGTACAAAATCAATAAAATATATTAAAAAAAAAAAAAGTATTTATTTATGTTTCTTACCATCATGATTTAAAGGCAGCAACAAGAAAAAGGACCAGCAAGAAAACCTTTTGATATTCTATAAGAAGAGGCATTGGGGACTACTGCATATAATGGAAAGTTTTAAGACCGTGCATACCTATCTAAAAAGGAACACAAGGCCAGACTAGACTTGAAAAGTGCTGGTTGCTCAGGAAGTTTAAAACAAATTAACTAGTTGAGAGGTCTCTCTCCTCACCTCTTCTACTTCTACTTTACATGGCCAGCAGTCTTATGGATTTAGGAGCCAACTATTATGGAAATTTCAAAGAATGAAACTCTAACTGCAAACATCAGCTTTTATATCATTTGCAACGGGACCACGTGGCCTTCACTGGGATGAAACCACTGAATGGTTACAACCTGCCTTTGCAAAGAAACCTGCTGACTCCGGCTTCTCACTAAGGGACAGGCGTGGGGATGAACCAGGGTTACTTCCTAACCGGCGAAAACTCTGAGAATATGACAGCCACTTACATGATCCGTTGTGTTTCTGATGAAAAGTCAACATATCTTCCAAAAATAAATTTAAGGTCCTAGAATTTCAATAAGAAAAAAAAAAAAAAAAAAAAAAAAAACAAGTAAGGAAGTCCAGCAAAAAAAAATTAATAGTAAAATAATAAGCTTTATTTATAAATTTTGACCTACCTTTTCTTGAACATGTTTAGCTAAATTCTTTACATAAATCCTACAGTTTGGTTCACCAGGTTCATAACTTCTGAAAACCGAAAGCGTTTCCATTTCTTATTAAAAACAAAACAAGGAAGTAAAGTTAAGATATTTTAGATCAATTTGAAAGTTTCAAAGGGAGCAAGGCAGGTTCCTGTCATGCAATTACCTTCTCGAGAGACCCGGCCCTTCTCCAGCTCCCGCCTTGAGATACACTCGGACGGCGTCTCGTCCGAGTCTTCTTTACTTTCCTCTTCGACGCTCGGGTTGGGTTTGGGGAAGATCTTTCCAAATCCTACAGTGGACGCATCGCCTTGAGCAGCAGGTAAATCTAAGGGTTAAGGTCAACGGGAGCCGTTAAAAATCCCTCCTTTCAAGACAGTCCGTTTTCCACTTTTAATTTTCAAGACGTCTTTGTGGAACAGGTAGGCAAAGTGTACTTGTCAAGGTTCAGAGAGTAAATATTTCAGGGTTTACAGGAGTATGAAAGTGTCTTCATAATGTACAAAACTTATCCTAACAGAACTGGCGCCTGCAGGCATCTAGTCACATTGCTGGTTCCTAATCAATACGACGAACATACTAACAAGACCTCTGAGCATCACACTTAACGAGAAATGGAAAAATAAGTCAGCATAAGGATCCTTCTAGTACATTTCCAGCGTGAACATCAGTACAAACCAAACTCCAGAGCTCCTTGGAGTCCATTATTCGCAACCGGCAATGAGACATTTCCATCGGAAGCACCAATTCTAAGTATATAAGAGAGGTGACAATGGACTGAGGAAGCCCTGACATGACTGCATATTTTACACATAGTTCACAAATACTGAGACAGAAACAATTATATAGAATATAATTGTAACACAAACGCTGACTGAGAAACGTGTTTACATCGCATTTAAAGAACTATGCTAAGCGAAATAAGCCTGTCAGAGAAAGATAAATATCACATGGTCTCACTCATTTGTGGAATATAATGAACAACATAACTGATGAACAAAAACAGATCCAAAGACAGAGAAGCATCGATTAGGCCATCATATCTCAGAGGGAAGGTAGGGGAGGGGGAGGGTAAAGAGAAGGGAAGAGATCAACAGAAGGACTTGTATGCATACATATAGGCCTAACCAATGGACACAGACACCAAGGGGGTGAGGGCATAAATGGGGGGAAGGGAGAGCGTGGGATAAGGACACATATGTAATACCCTAATAAAGAAAAAAAATAAAGGACGTTTACTTTAAATTCCTTAAAAAAGGTGAAAGAATTTTAAAAAATACAAAAAGAAATTAACTCATAGACAACAGTATGGTGATTATCAGAGGGAAACAGTGAGGGGGAAGGTAGGAGAGTAAAGGAGGGACAAATGTATGGAAAGAGACCTAACGTGGCACGGTGAACCATACGCAGATGATATATTATAGAACTGTGCCCCTGAAACCTATACAACTGTATTAACCAATAAGCTCAATAAAAAAATAAAGAGCATTCCTTTATACAGAAAAAAAGAACTAGAATGTGCTTACCAGGATTTTGTTCTTCAAAACCATCTTCCTTTTCCAAGTCTTTCTTAACTGCAGCTGGCATGTCGGTAGATATATGGAACTCAATCTTTTTATTCCCGACCGGCTGTGGCTGATCAAACACATCGGACGGGGACAGCACCGGGTGTAAGCTGCGGCGCACCAACAAGCACAGCGTTACTTCGCAACCGCAAGGAATGTCCCCAGGAAAACACTATTCATGTTTACTGTACTTTAAAAAGCTAACGCTGACCAAGTACTCAACACTACAGGCATTTTACCAAGTAAAACCTGCATTAACTACTTCCATAGACCCTGACCAGTTCTACTGTGAGTCCTATTAAGTTCCTAGTTTAGAGTCATTACATCATCACTCAGAAGTGAGAGACACAGTACGTGAGGACTATTAGAAATGGAGAAAAAGATCATTTAAACAAACGCCTTTCTCAATTTATGAAGTTATGAGTTCAAGGAAAATTGACATGGAAAAGTTCCATGAAATTAAAATCACAAGTAAGAGTAATTTAATCTGATTAAGATATTGAGAAACATAGAACTCACTGGCAAACAGACATCTCTGCCACAAATGGACTGAAGAAATGCGAGTTCACAAGCAGACTAGCGCCTATGGAACCCTTATTCCATAATCCAAAACAAGACTACCTGTGAGTCACGGGCGCAGGTGCGGTCAGCATGTCCTTTATCTTCCGCCTTTTTCTCACATGGCGTTGTCTTGTTGCTTTTGGTCTTTTGGGCTGAAGATTTGCTAATTCCATTAGTTTGGCCATTCTGCCTTGGGGGAAGGGAAAGGAAAAAATAATTTCTGTACACCAAAAGGTTGCCAGTTTGATTCCTGGCTGGGGCGAGTACAGGAGGCAACTAACTCATCGATGTTTCTCTCTCTCTCTCTTTTTCTTTCCCTCTCCCCTCCTCCTCTTCCTCTCTCCAAAAAAAAAATAAAAAATAAAAAAATCAATAAACATATCCTTGGGTGAGACTTAAAAAAACTGTATAACTACTATCTATATGCTAGAGGGGTGGTGCTGGGGATGAACAAATTCTGATGTCTCCAAATTACTGAGAATTACAGTAAAATTCAGAAGAGCGAGAGACTCTCTTCTCAGAGAATGCGTCTCTTCAAATCTAAACAGGTATGATACGAAGTCACCAACCTCTGTCGGTCTTCCTCATCGCTGCTTTCGTACTCGGATTCTTTACTTGATAAGTCCTCATCCTCATCGGGCAAAGGCGGGTCCTCCGGGGGCCGAGGAGACCCCGGGGGCAGAGGGGCGTGTAACGGCACATAGTCTTCATACTAAACAACAACAACACCATGATGTTTCCCGAACAGATAAACCCCTCCATTCGATGCACGATTCTCATCTCTCTGTAGCTCATGATATTAGGACACACTCCACACACGGAGGGACACCTGCCTGGCAGATGCCTAGCTGAGCAAATACGTGCTGCTTCTTCCTGGGCACCTGGCGTACACCTTTTAAGAGTCTCTACTTAAAGGTGTATGCAAAAGCAACCATTTCCAACTTCCCTGGCAGTTCAGAGTTCACCAGGGAACTGTTTTAGCCAACGAAGAGTTGGCATGAAAACCTTCACCCATGAACGTCTCTTGCTTTGTGCTCGGCAGGCTCCTTAGTTTCAGGGCACAGGAGAGGTCAAGGGCCCAGCATCGGGAGCATTTAGTCTCAATGATCCCACCCCTGAAGGAGCAGTTTTGAATCTTGAAAATTGTAAGAGCTTTCTTACCATGGGAGGCCGTGCAGTGATCGGTCCGAAAGGTGTGGGCAGATTCATTTTATTCATCAGATGAAGCACCTTAAAATTATAAAGCATTTAGAACTGCTTAGTAAAATGGTGTCAGCTCACGTTTTATGTATTTAAAAACTCTGCATTGATTCAACTGATTAATGGGGTGCAGAGGCCGGCAGACCTCTCACTGTCATGACCCCAGGACAGGCCTGGAACAAGGCCCTGGTGGATCTCAGGGTAGCCTTCCTAAATTTTTGTCAGCCCTGCAAACGTTATTCTCATTATTACGATACAACATCTTCTCACATGCTGTTTCTCCCTTGATCATTGTAAAATTAGGAAACAGAAAATAACCAAATCAACATTATCTACATTCTGTACTAAAAAAAAGGATCCTGTTACTATCAATACTTTCAAACCTTTGCCCTGGGGGTCAACTATGTCCTTTCCTTTAAAAATCTCTACTTAAAGGTGTATGCTACAGTAACCAAGAATTACCAGAAATTGCATTTCCCAAATTATCTTGTGTTTATTATTAATACTAAACATAATAGGTTGCTTATGCCATTCCTATATAATAAAAGGCTAATATGCAAATTGACCGAGTGCCAGAACCACTGGTTGCTATGACACTAACTGACCACAGGAGCCAGGAGCTCAACTCAGGAGCTGCCACTGGGGGAGCACTGCTCAGCCAGAAGCCGGGCTCATGGCTGGCAAGCACAGCCTCCACAGCAGCGGGACATCCCCTGAGGGGTCCCAAGCTGAGGGAACCCCAGTGCACAAATGTCATGCACCAGGCCTCTAGTAGTTTATAAAAGCCTGTACTTGAATGCGGTAATATTTCATTACCATTTGAAATTGACTGAATGTCTGTGATGCAACCCCCCACCCCCAATTCATATGCTGAACCCTGACCCCCAATGTGTAGGTATTAGAAGGTGGGGGAAGGATGGGGGGAAGGAATGGGGCTTTGGGAAGTAAATAGGTCATATGCCAGGTCATCTGCCACCTGAAGAGAGCCCTCACCAGAACCCCACCTCACTGGCACCCTGATCTCGAACTTCCAGACGTGAGAAATCATTTCCTGTTGTTTATAAGTCATCTACTCTGTGGCATAGTTACAGCAGGCTGCACTGATTATGACATCTTTCAGCAAATGCAATATCCATGCCTGTCGGAATTAGTCTAACTAGTACTCTACGGAAAACTCTGAGAATTGGCCTGGAAAATAAAACGTCAGGTTCCTCCTGCCTTTCCCGTGGGGAACGCTGGTTTCACTCTACGCACCTGGACGTAGAACTTGGGCACACTCGCCAGGGCGTTGACTATGTTTGCGAGGATTGTGCTGGACGGCGGCGGGTACATGTACTTGAGGCAGGAATCCAGAGGAAACGTCAGCCTGGAGAAAACATTTACAATGCTTATTGTGTTCCCCTGAGTTTCATGTCAAGAACTCGTTGTAGATAACGTAACATACAGAACCGATCCAATAATTCAGTACTCTAGGGTTGCTTGGTGCCTGAGAGACCCAAACAAGCACATTTAGGCAGAAAGCTGTCTTCTGGCCGCATTACAGGAAAATAAGAATTTTCTTATCAGACCTTATCTCGTAGCTCTGAACATTTTAATGGAAGCAAATTCAGTGACCAACTCTTATAGCTCAAAATGTTTAATCGACAGATTAAAAATAGACATGCCAAAATATCCCTTTTGAATAAATTATCTGATTTACAATACACACACACACACACACACACACAGAGAGAGAACAAAAAAATTAAAAAGAACAACAAAGTACAAAGAAAAAGCACTCACCCATGGTTTGGTGCAATTCCATTTTCTATAGTCAAACAACCAAGTTCTTTCTTTTCTTTATCATCTTCCACAGGCTCCTCAGACCTAGGACACACAGAATCAAAGCTGGTCTGAGCTTTAGAAATAGAGTGAAAAAATACATACAGGAAAAAAGTTATCTTTCCACACATGGCATTACGAAAACAGTTCCATAATAAATAGAATGTTCAGATACTGTCCATGACATGCCACATTTCATTTAGTCTTCACTGAAACCCTAGGAAGATGGTGTGATAAATCTCACTGAAGATGGAAAACCCCTGAAATTTACCTGGTGTACAACAGTGATGCCCCAATTTCTATAATTGCATTGCTCCTCTCCCCCAGTTTCTAACTTAGAAAACTGGGTTAAGACCCAAAAATCTATATGCCAGTCAAGATCCTAGAGGACGCAGCTGGTCCAGGGACCACTAGTCTTCAAGACCCACTGGTGTAAAGCTTATTTGTAAAGGTTATATAACTTAACTTACAAAGAGTTATAACTGAAACCAAATACCAGTCTTTGCAAAAGCCCTACCTATGCATGATACCCACTGTCTGTAATACAATGTTGTTAACAGAACTCTCTTCCCACATTAATTCCTAACATTAAATCAACTCCTAATGCACGACTAGGAACAAAAATACATTGTTTTAATGTACTAGATCCAACGAGAGAGATGTATCCATGTTAGGAAAAGCCAACTATCTACGCACCTCTTCTTTTTGTCTGTGCCTGCAAAGGGACATGGGGAATGGACTTCATCTTGCTCTTTTGCAAATTCAACAACTAACGTGTGACCTAGAAGTTTCAGCTGGTGGAGTCTTGTCAGTGCCTGCAGTTAGAAGAAGAGAAAATTCGATTTGTTAGAGACCACCTACCTTTACACATGCCCTTTGTTAATGCTGTTATCACTTCTCTGGCTCTTTCTCACTCGTTTCTAATTTCACACTGCCCAACCTTTCTTACTGGCTTCCTATCACTTAGCAAAATTAAAATCTGGCCGGGACCGGTTTGGCTCAATGGATAGAGCGTCGGCTTGGTGATTGAAGGGCCCCGGGTTCGATTCCGGTCAAGGGCATGTACCTTGGTTGCGGGCATATCCCCAGTAGGGGGTGTGCAAGAGGCAGCTGATCGATGACTCTCTCTCATTGATCTCTCTCCCTTCCTCTCTGTATAAAAATCAATAAAATATATTTTAAAAAAATTAAAATCTGGTTAAATCCAGCACATGTTTACTGTTCTTAGATACCAATACCTAGACTTCGGGTAAGATCTGCCAACTGACAGAGTCCAAGGTAGCCTGTGGAGCCAAATGTTGAAATACAAACCCTTTTGCTTTTTAAAACTATAGTTTATGTGTTATTTTTTGAACCAAGCCTGGATAATGGTTAACTGTGATAGTAAAGAAAAAGTCCCACCTTTACCGCTGCTTTTTCATTAGGGAAAGTAGCAAAAGCTGTATGTTTCTGAAAAAGAATGAAGGTACAAAATTATTTCAAATATAATTTCAGCTTTTCATAAGGAAGTCTAGTGATTTGACACATTAATAAAATCTTGGCAAAGAATGAAAATTCACGATCACTTTAACGGATTACTGCTAACTCCATCACAGTGGTTTTGAATCTTTTCTGGATCAGACTGGAGATGGAAATTATGTAGCCTTTTTTGTTACAGCTATGGGAGCGCTCGCTTGACATCCGTCAAATAGTTCAACACATCAAAAGTTTAAAAACTACTATACCTAGTAAAAGCACTATTCTTAAACTATAAGAAAATATAAAATACCTGCCATTTTATAATACATATAAAGAGCTTAAACTTTGTACACCCAAATGCAGAGTTTAAAAATGTTCGTAGGGAAAAAAAATCCTTTGAGTGCATGTTTCCTTTGGGCTTTATCTTTGTAATAAGGGTTCAAAGGAAGAACTCTATTTTTAAATATAAATTGTGAATATTTTCATAACAGAAAGGGAGCACTAAGTCAAAAGAAAACAAATGATCATGCTAAGAGTTCCTGCCTAAAGCATTTAAAGGTGCTTGAATACATTGTTACTTTTGTCTCCTCTGATCTAAGATGACTTGAGTGCACTTAAACTGAATCGCATAGGATCTTTGTACCTGCTGGCACACAGCAGGTCCTTGAATACTGAATGTCGTTTTGTTCAAAGTCCTCTCCTTACAAGTTGATGAGCTGCCTCAGGAGCTTGACTAACTCTTGTTTCTATCAATCAGCCTACGGTAAAACCAGACCCCGTGTATGTCCTTTTGCTTAAAGTTGCAGAACCTAGCAATGACATTGAGGAGTTACTGCACCTGACACTTGCATCAAAACTGGTCTTTTTTTTTTTTTTTCACTGATCCTCAACCCTTTTTTTTTTCACTGATCCTCAACCCTGGCTGCATGTCAGAACCAATCACCTGGGCCTAGACTCCGGATTCCAATAATTACAGGCTGTGTTGTGATTAAGCCGGGGACTTTAGCACCATGGGTGACTTGCCCCATCTGAGCCCGCCTTGCAGAAACTTAACAGCGCCGTTCCTCTTCTAATGCACACAAATCCAGCTAAAACATCGTCGGGTTTAAAAGAAATGAAGTGGAAATTCTGTAACTAGTTCACTCCAATATAGTATTGCAGTTTCTCCTCTTATTCCTGGCTTACAAATGAACCAATATTTTTTTTTAAGTCCTTCTTCCCTATTTCCCAGAGTACGGAGACTGGGAGAAGCACCCCCGTCCTCCGAGGTGTTCTGGGATCTACACATCTAGGCAGTTCCGCGGCGCTGTCACCGGTCCAGGCTTCCGCCCATCAGAACGTCGCTGGGCGCGCGGGAGATCGGGATGGAAAAGAGGGGAGCGCCCTTACCAGCCGCCCCTTATCGGACAGGACGCGCACGGACTGCGCCCCGAAATACTTGAGCAGGTCCTCCTTCTCCTCCGCGCTCAGCTCGGCCGGCAGGTGCCTCACGAGGAGGGTTCGGTCGCCCCGCGGCGGGGACAGCGAAGCGGAGCCCGGGCACCCTCTGGCTCCGGGCAGCGGCGGCTCGGGGGCCGCCATCGGCCCCGGAGAAGGAGGGACCGGGATGCGGAGCGCAGGACCCCGGCAGAACACAAGCGGGGATCAATGTGTAAGTTTTCCGCCTCGCGCGAAGGATTCTGGTAGCACGGAAATGCCGCGAGAGGTGGGTGCTTTCTCGCGAGACTCTCGCGAGAGTGACACTTTGGAGGGCGGTTCCTGGGGCCGGAGGGCGTGGCTGTGCAGTGATTGGAAAGGAACGTGGTTAGAATTCCAGGCAGCTGCGGAAGGTATTAAAAACTAAAACGTGCCCGAGGGAGTGTGAGGATTTAAAAAGCAGTCAAAGAAGGAACAGAGAGGCGATACCTCAATCGAGCTGAAGGAGGGAAGCCTGACAGGAATCTATTGCGCATGTTCGGGCGGGGGGGGAGGGGGGGTGGCGCCTGCGCAGTCGGCCGCCCTGGTCCCGCCCCTGCCCGGTGGCGAGGAGGGTGCGGTGTGAGCTTGTGGGTGTGATTTACACTGGGGATAGGTCACCTCGGAGACTGCAAGTTCTTTTTGCAGCTCAGCGAGGTCCACGCAGGCAGGAGAACTCAGTATACGGAACACAGTGTTGGAACACATGTGTTTTGTCTTCTGGGTCGCTGTGCACACAGCAGCCCGGTGGGCGCTCAGGCCAGGGCTCATTTCTTGACTCATTCATGCTTCCCTCCTACATTCACCTTGTGCAGCAGTGAAGCACGCCCCTACCTGGAATCCAAGTCCCTGGCATGTGCCCTGACTGGGAATCTAACTGTGACCTCCTGGTCCACTGGTGGATGCTCAGCCACTGAGCCACACAGGCGGAACATCCAATCTTATATTTATCTTGCCTGCTTGTATCAGTGTTTCTGTTTTGCACTCAGAGACCATTAAAAGCACAACTTTGGGAGTGAAACTGCCTCGGTTTATATTCCTGTTCTGCTCTGTGACTTAGGGGGAGTGCCTTAACTGCTCTGCCAAGCTCTCTGATCTGTAAAACGAAGACACCGCCTTCGTCATAGGCTTGTTATTAAGTTTTAAATGAATGAATCTGCCATACAGTTGTTCTCTCTGTTATTTTTACTTTGACTTGCTGATTGTATGGGTAACGTTTGTCTTCCCCACTAGATTTTTAGGAACCATGTTATTTTCTCCCACTATTGTAGCTCCAGACCCGGCTCATAGTAGGTACTATAAATTGTTGAAAATAATAATAACAATAAAAAGAATGGTTTAAGTCCAGGTAATGAATGCCTGTCTTGTGTGTGCTGAAGTCAGCGGCATATTCTGCATTTATCAGTCATAGCCACTAGGTGGCAAGCTTGTCCCAGGCAAGGCAAATGCTTTAAGCCCCCCCCATTAGCTGATGATGGGGGAGTATCATACAATACAGTGTATGGTTTTTAGGCTGGTAGAAGGATAGGAAGATGAAAGTTTAATTATAAATAAAAATTGCCGATTTTTATTCTTCATTCCATCATGTGCTCTGCCCTTCTGACTAGCTCATCTTTCAATCAACTTATTTATTTTTAAAGTTTTTAACTGGCCACACACAGACACTGGCTGAACGTGGGTGGCCCGGCTGCTGTGGCAGCAGGATGAGACCCGCTATGATTCTGAGTTTTGAGTGGCTTCGTTGCCTGCATGTGTGTGTGGGGGGAAAAGAGCAATGTGCCCCTCACCCTAGGCTGCTCCCCAGGTGTCCCGCTCACCCCCAAGAGGGCAGGCCCGAGACCTGCTACGGTCACCTAGGGGCACTTCTGTCCTTGACGATTTGTTCAATAGAGATCAAATCCTGAACACATTAACCCCAAAGCTGGCAAGAGGCGTACATAACAGGACATGCTGACGTTTCAACTCCTCCATTTCTAGAAAGCTCTCCTTTACTTCTGTTTACTTAAGGACCCACTGATGCCATTTTCCCTTTCTCCCCTCAGAACATTTTTTCCAAACAGGAAAAACTAAAGAAAGCCACACACATCCATATTTGCTGAGCTCTTAAGATCCCTTCAGTATCCAAACTTCAACCAAACTCAAACCAGCTGCGCTTGTCAATGTTTGATTTCAAAATTCTGGGGCCTGAGGCTCCATGTGGTCCTTGTGGGCATGAAGCACCAGTCAGGGCTTCCAGAGAAAATGTTCGCTGGCTCCTAGTCTGGGTCAGAGGCCCCAGGACCTGGTGCAGGGCCCAGTCAGAGGCTGCAGTTGCCCCATGGGCACAGCCTCAGGAAGAGCCCAGAACACACAGGAGACTGGATGGAGGTCATAGGCATTTCCTGCAGATAACACATCCAGCATTTCTCATTCCACTGACACCTCGTTAGAATATTCACAATTCTCCACTGAAAAACGATGCTCAGAAAGGTCTCTTATAGGATTATTATTAACCAGTTTTCTTAATTCTTTCAATCACAGACCTTGGCCTACTGGTTCCCAAATCTACTGTGATTGTGGCTGGAACCTGAGTTACGTTCTATCTTATTCTTGAACAAGAACTTGGTCTCCCTTCTGATTATTGCTCATTATAAGGGTGTGAGGCACATGCCATTTTCATTTTCTTCCAGCTCACAATGTGTGTCATTTTTGGAAAATAAACTGCTATTGTGCCTGGTATAAAAGAAAGAAATGAAAGTGTCGAAGAGTCTACAAATGAGATAACCTCTAAATAATCAAAGTTTGGGGCTTTTGAAAACTTTATAAATACCAATCAATTGAAATTGATTAAATGTGTGTATATGCTTCTTATAATCAAAAACCAGATGGAAGTATTTTTTTCTCTACTTTTAGCAAACAGGAGGGAGTAGCATAAGGCTTCTATCAGTGAAGTTTTTAAACGCTTCTACCTATTTTTAGATTGTTTTAGCCAGGTGGTAAATCACAGTGTAACCTGTTTCATAAGATCAAAAACAAATTATTGTTGTCTTCTGGGTAATCTCATGGTCCATCTAAACAACAGAAGTCCGACATTTAGTCAATATTTGTTTTCCAAATTAATGACCTTGGTCAGTAGAATTATTCAGTGATACTTCAATTACCTAAAATTAAGCAAACTGGCAACCTGTCTCATGTAAAATAAAGCTTACTCCCCATTCCCTGCTCCCCTCCCCCCCAAAAAAATATGCAGAAATCTCTGACCATTCAGAAGGGTAGCTTGCTCCAGACTTCCCATTTCTCAGCGGTAGGGCTTGCAGCGAGCTACCTGTGTTCACTTCAGGGCTAGACTTACGGGCTGGGAGCCATTACCATCCAGCTGCTGACCCTGTGTCAGGGGGAGCAGCAGACCTTCCAGTGAAATCTGCTGTGATCTGCTGGGCTCTTCAAGGTTGGGCTTGGTGACCAGAAGCTGCGTGGCTTGGAAACAGCGAGGCCTGTTGTTAAGGATGGAATGAGGACCCAGAACAGCGCCTCCCAGAGGAGCGGAGCCTGGATGTTGATCCTGGGCAGGCTGGTTTCTCCCTGAGACACAGCTCCCCAACCTGCTCCCTCCCTTCCCTGACAACCACCTTTGTTGCATTTCCCACCAGCAGCTACCAAAGAATTCCAACTCCTGGATCTAGTTTACTCTTAGATGATCTCTTTCATTCTTTATTCGGCACCTCTTTTTGATTTATGAACAATTCTAAGACCCTTCATTGTGTAGTTTTGAAGTGAAATGAAAAGTTGAAGGGTAAAGACTGGCAGCCCACCGCCATTTCCTCGGTGGGTGCATGTTTCCTAACCTGCCAGAATAAAGACCCGCGATGATAATGGGCCACAGCTTCCTTTTCGTGTCTTTGTCCCGGTTTTTAGGGCGATTTCTTGTGCCCTGTTAGTAAGTAAGGGCATTATAACTTACAGGATAACAATCTGGGTTATTGTTTCTTAGAAAAAAAATGGACACATGCAGAAAGGCATATTTATGTTTAAGATATTCAGTTACAGCCCAGACAGTGTGAGTGTCATCAGCTGGTTGAGTGTCGTCCCGTGCCCCTAAAGGTTGCCAGTTCCATTCTGGGCAGATGCCCGGGTGGCAGGTGAAGTCCCTAGGCTGGGTGCATGTGGAAGACAACCAATGGATGTCTCTCTTTCCCTCCCTCCATCTCTCCCTACTTCTCTCCCTCCCATTTATGCCTATCTGTATATATACATTCAGATACATAACTTAGTGGCCAGATTATTATGACCACCCTGTCTGTCCTCTGTTGGGCCACCTTTTGCCGTCAATACTGTGGCGATTCTTCTTGGCATTGACTCCACGAGATGTTGAAAGGTGATGCGAGGAATCTGACGCCATGCCTGATGAGTAGCACTGTCCAGTCCTGTGAGATCTGATGGTTGTGGAACCAGCTGCCTGATGGCTCTTTTAACTTCGTCCCACAAATGCTCAATTGGATTGAGATCTGGTGATTGTGGGGGCCACCTAAGCAAGGTAAAGTCTCCCTCATGTTCTTGAAGCCACTCCTGCACAATACAAGCACCGTGGCATGGCACATTGTCTTGTTGGAAGAAGCCATCTCCATTGGGATAAGTTATCAACGTGATAGGATGAAGTTGATCAGCAATGATACTTAGGTATGTTGTGCTATTCAGACAATACACATGAATTAAAGGGCCCAAATCATGCCAGGAAAACATGACCCAAACCATAGCACTGTCCCCACCAGCTTAAAAGGTTGTACTCATGCATGTGGGGTGCATGCTTTCATGCTCTTTTCACCAAATTCTCACTCTGCCAACTGGAAACGTGATTCATTGGACGACATGACTTTTTTCCAATGCTCGACTGTCCAATCCTTGTGTTCGTGTGCGAATTGGAGAACTGGAGATGTTTTATCTTGGTGGTTCAAACAGGCCTTTCACTTTCATATCCCATAGGGCTAATTTGCCTACAAATGTCAGGTGGTCATAATAATCTGGACACTCAGTTTACATACAAATAGGCATAAATGGGTGAAGAAAAACTCATTATTAGTTCTGTGATCTTGAGAAATTGCTTCACTACTCTGAAACTCACCTGTAAAATAATTATAATATCAAGCTCAAAAATTTCTGAGGATTTAATGGCATAATATATGTAAAGTGCCTGTAAGAGCTCAATGAATGCTAGCTGCTATTATTGTAATGAGTATCAACTTTGTCATAATTTA